AAAAAGAAAAAAAAAAGCCGGAAGTGGCACTGTGGCTCAAGTGGTAGAGCGCTAGCCTTGAGCTGAAGAGCTGAGGGATAGCGCCCAGGCCCAGAGTTCAGGCCCCACAACCGGACCCAAAAAAAAAAAAAATAGTAGGCACTCCTATGCAGCGAAGAAAAGAGAAACAGGAACACATCTTTCCTAGGGGCTTGCCAGACTTTCCAGGAGGTAGGCCTCTTTGAAGCCCCATTCTCAGATCTGATAGCAGAATGTTCCTTGCTAAACAGACTCCACTGGAGTAGGCGTGGCAGGGCAGGGTGAGGGAAAGGAAGCAAGTAATAATACAACCCAACTGCTAACCCCAAGTCCATAAGACACAAGCCTTATTAGCGGATTGTGCAAGACTGCAAGGAAGGCCTAGAGGGTCTTATACAAGAGACAGAGCTGTAGATTTAGTGGAAGGTGCAAAATCTAAATGAAAAGTTTTGAATGGCATACAGAAAAAAGAGCTAAGTTCATCATGAGGTATGAATTGTAAAGAGGATCCTGTTTCACTGAAAGCTATTTAATATAGATGCATAAACTGGAGAGTTCTAAGACATCTTATCTGAATTTATGTAACTGGGTTGTAAATCAAGGCATCTTCTTGAGATCAGTGTATCTTCTTTCCACAGATGATACCTATCTTTTTTATTTCATGCTGGGGCTTAAACTGAAGATCTCAAGCTCTTGCTTGGCTTTTTGTACCCAGCTAATAGCTGTAGTTCTAAAAGCAGCTACTTAGGTAAAGGGGTTATTATAATACTCCGTTTACAAGATGACCATGGAGAAAAACTTTCCTGGTAGCAATTCTACCTTTACCTGAATCTACAAAGCACTGACCTTCCCACACAAAGTAGAGGCTTACTTTGTGAATCCAATCATGCTAACGTTAGAGGAAGAGCAATCCAAGCAAAAACAGTAAAGTTGGGCTGGGAATGTGGCTTAGTGGTAGTGTGCTTGCCTAGCATGCATGAAGCCCTGGATTTGATTCTTCAATACCATCTACACAGAAAAAGCTGGAAGTGATGCTGTGGCTCAAGTGGCAGAGTGCTAGCTTTGAGCACAGAGATGCTCAGGGACAGTGCCCAGGCCCTGAGTTCAAGCCCCAGGACAAAGAAAGAAAGAAGGAAGAAAAAAAATGAGAAAGAAAGGAAGAGAGGAAGGTTAAAAACCCTAAGGCAATGTCGCCAGTGCTGGTGGCTCATGCCTGTCATCCTAGCTACTCAGGAGGCTGAGATCTGAAGATTGTGATTGGAGGCCAGCCTGGGCAGAAAAGTCACTGGGAGACTCTTATCTCCAATAAAGTACTCTAAAAAGCCAGAAGTCGTGTTGTAGCTCTAGTGGTAGAAAGCTAGCCTTGAGCACAAAGAGGTTCAGGAACAGCGCCCAGGCCCTCCTCAGTTCAAGCCACAGGACTGGCCAAAAAAACAAAAACTCTGAGGCAAGATTAAGTTTGATTACTTTAAAGCAAGTAAGAGGCCACTGAGGCAGAAGTGGAAGGAGGACATCAGAGACCAGCCCTACATTCAGCCTTGCCTTCATATTGTACTCCAGGTACAATAAAGTCACTGACCAGGAGAAATATAACCTGAAATATGTGGAACTTGTCTCTGGCAGTGAAGACAGGAAGTAAGACAAGAAGAGGGGAAACAGCATCAGGAGTTTAACACAACAGAGTCAGGGTAAGACATCATAAGGCTAGAACTAGAATGATAAGGAAAATCTTAAGCCTGGCATGCCAGCACACTAAGCCATATATATAGTAAAGCCATCTTGAGTTAAAAAAAGAAAAAAAACCTGCCAGACACTGGTAGCTCATACCTATAATCCTAATTACTCTGGAGGCTAAAATCTGAGGATCAAAATTTGAAGCTAGCTACAGCAGGAAAAGCCTGTGAGACTCTTTTTTTTTGGGGGGGGGGTCCGGTTGTGGGGCCTGAACTCTGGGCCTGGGCACTGTCCCTCAGCTCTTCAGTTCAAGGCTAGTGCTCTACCACTTGAGCCACAGCGCCACTTCTGGCTTTTTTCTTTTTGCTTATGTGGTGCTGAGGAATCGAACCCAGGGCCTCAGGCATGCAAGGCAAGCGCTCTACCACTGAGCCACTTTCCCAGCCCGCCTGTGAGACTCTTATCTCCAATTAACCAACAAAAAGCCTGAAGTGAAGGTGAGGCTCAAGGTAAAAATCAGTGAGGCCAACTGGGCCCCAGTGGCTCATGCCTGTAATCCTAGTGTTATGCCAAGGTCACAGGACCCCTCTCCACCACACCCCCCCTCCCCCCACAAGAAGACCACCAAAAGTCAGACTCTACAGCTGTTTTATTTAAACGGGCTGCAGCTCGGGCCTCGTCCTACACTCCGACACAGTGGAGCCTAGGAGGAGAGCCCCGAGCTAAGGATTTGCAGGTCTTATATAGGCACACAATCAACCAGGTGTTTTGATTACCACCACGTGTTGCTTTGCTAGACAGAAACAAGCAACAAGTGGTGGTCACTGCTTCAAACTTTAACCTTTCACTAGCTACTCAGGAGGCTGAGATCTGGGGATCACAGTTCAAAGCCAGACCAGAAAGGAAAAGTCCGTGAAACTCTCCAATAAACCACTCAGGAAAAAAAAACAGAAGTGGCGCTGTGGCTCAAGTGGTATTAACACTAGCCTTGAGCTGAAGAGCTGAGGGACAGCACCCAGGCCCAGAGTTTAAGCCCCATATCCAACAACAACAACAAAAAAATCAGTGAGGGGGGAGCGGGGAGGCTGGGAAGGGATGGGAAGGGTAAACAAAGGAGGAGGCTGCAATGCTTGATAAGAAATGTACGCATTATCCTGCCCATGCAATTGTAACCCCTCTGTACAGTATGTTCACAAATAAAATAAAATTAAAAAAAAAATCAGTGAGGCCCTCGGTCCAAGCACTCATCCCCACAAAAGAAAAGCAGAAAAAAATGTAGAGTTGAGAAGGCAGAGATGAGTATGGTATTGGAAAATGACAAGAATGACACAGGTTTGTAGCCTACTCATAGCTGACTATCAGAGGTGGGGAAAGCCTCGCCCACAGGACATCCATGACAGGGCAGAAACATAGGTGTCTTGTCAATTAACCATGGCCAGCTAACCATACTGGTAATTTTGTATAGGCATTGAAAGATGTTATAAATATCAAAATGGCTGCTAGCAGAAAAAAAAGGCTCCTCATCCTTGAACTAGATGAAGCAATAGTGCTGTTGACTGAAAAGCAGAAGAAACATTTGGAGCCTTAGTCAGGTGTTTTAAACATGTTGAGTTTGAACTGTCCATGAAACATCACAGAGATACTGAGCACATTCCTGGGCTCTAGATTCTATTTAGTGTGGGAGCAATTTAACCAACCTAGTTAGCGAAGATCCCCCTGGCTAAAGACTCCTCAAGTTTCTTAGGTCATCCCAATTCAATGGAGGGCCTGGTAATGGTGTCAACATTTAGAGAGGTAGTCTGCTAGGGCTCAATCCAGATCTCTGGCCAGGAAGATTGTAAGAAGCTCCTTGGCTCCTGCAAACAGAGCCTGGACTGCTGGAGGCCATGCAGGTTTCCTGAGAAGGACACCTGCTCAAACATGTAGGCAACACAGAAATAGAACCAACCCCCGGGGTCAGAGCAGAATACTACAATGCCAAGCCCCTGCTTCATTTTTACTTCTCTACACAGATGGCATTACCTAGCTTTCTAAATATGTGTCCGTATCTTTTATCTGTATAGATATATCTACATAATACAAAGACATTAAGATGTTATAACATAATGCACAAGGCACTAACCCATCTCAGAGCATCCTTTCAAAATTGAATCCACTATAAAATATGTAGTATCCCAATAAATCCTCTCCAGAAATGACAACTTTATCAAATCATGACACTGAGTACAATATTAAACACTCACCTCCATTTATTAAATATTTTCTAAATGAATCTCTCTTGCCAAACAAGAAAGAGTTTATCAAAAAACCTACAGAAGAGGTTTTATGTTCACCAGACAATCTTACCCACCAAACTCAGATCCAAAGGCCAGTCACAGATAATCCAAGGCCAATGCTGACAGAATTTCTGGAAAGGCCCTGCACTTAAACTCTAACGTGGGGGAGGACTGTTCTAGAATGTGGTGACAGTCTAAAAGAAATTGAACCTAAATTCTTCAGAAGAGTCCAGAGTAGCCTTGGCTTTCCCTGCTGGGCGAGGCCTGCAGACCCTTCCGCTCTTCTTTCTGGTAGCCTCACTGACAGGCTGTACTTGGGCTGAATGAGCAGCTGCCAGGGAGAGGAAAGCAGAGTCAGAATTGAATAACAGTAACATTACAGATGCAGTTTATGATTTCCCATATAACCCTAACTCCACTGAATAATTTTACTAATAAGCTTCTCAAAATTGTAAGATACGTATTATCATTCCACCTTTCAAGTCATAGAGAGATGCACTAAGTGGCTAAAAGTGTTAAGATCTGAAGACCTAAATGGAATATTCCATTGCGGGAATTACACTCAAAACACTATTTGATCTGCTTTCATGTGCAAAAGAGAAGGTCAAGGCAAAGAAAGACAGGTGAGGTGCTTCTCCCCATCCCGAGACGGATAAGGAAAACACATATCTGTGGCTACTCATCCCCCTCAGGACTTCCCCCTTTCAGAGGTACAAACTCTTCTCATGCTACCCTGACCTCATCTCCAGAAGCACTGGGTTTCTTCCTTCCACTTCCTTTCGACCCTCTAGTAAACAGATGTGCTAAGCCAACCACTTCCCTGCTGCTCACCAGTCCGAAGTGCCCGCAGGGCCTCTTGCCTCTCTGCCTCCATACGAGCCCGGTAGTCCCCAAACAAGGAGCGCATCAGCTGTCTCTTGCGTGGCAGGGGGGCTTTTTCACTGCGCAGGGTTCGAATGGCCCCAATGGCTTGCTCCTCTGCAAAGAAAGGACGAGTCACCTTACGTATCCATTGTGCTAGCCATTGTGGGGGAGCACCGACAGGCCACAGCACCACATCCTTCCCCCTCAAGTTTACAAGAGGGTCCTTACTCTGCTTCGGGGTTGGTCTCTGCATCCTGAGGCCCAACTCCAGCTGCTCCACGCACCAGGCCAGTTCCTGGGCCAGCTGGTCTGTCTGCCATGGACGAGGGACAGGGGCTGACGCGCCGCAGCCCGCAGCCCAGCCCCCAACCCCGCCGACCCCAGCCCAGCCCGCGCCAGGCCTCGACCCCGCAGACGCGCGGGCCTCCCGCACCTGCCTGGGCCTCGGCGCCAGGAGCGGCTTCCTCCGGGCCGCCCTCCCTCACAGACGCCCCGGCCGGGGCTTTCCTCCGTGTTGGCTTCCCGGAGGCAGCATCGCCGTCTCCACCCCCGGGACGAGTTCGGGCGGCGGCGCCACAGCCCTGCGGCTGCCCGGAGCCTTGGGCGGCGGCAGCTGGACTCCGGGCGCCCCGGACAGAACCTGAAAGCCGAGGCTTGCGGGGCGCGCGGACAGCACCCGGGCGTGGGGCCGCGGGCGTCTCCCGCGCAGGGCGTTCTGGAGCCTGGAGAAGGAAGTGGCACGAGACTTACAGGGGGCTGCCGGCCGGCCGGGCCCCGCACGGGCGCGCCTTCCCCTCTCCACTCACCGCCATGGGTCGCGGTGGCTCCTCCGGGAGTACGTCTACAGCGCACGGCTCCGCGGGCAGCGCGGCAGACCCCGAACTCGGAGGCGTGGCGAGGCGCCGGACGGGGCGGAGCCTCGCGCACCCGGAGGCGTGGCGAGGGGCAGGATGGGGCGGAGCCTCGCGCCCCGGAGGCGTGGCGAGGGGCAGGATGGGGCGGAGCCTCGCGCACTCGGGGGCGTGGCGAGAGGCAGGATGGGGCGGAGCCTCGCGCACCCGGAGGCGTGGCGAGGGGCAGGATGGGGCGGAGCCCATTAAGGTCAATCAGGGTCATCAATTTCATAACTTACATGTGTGTGCAGGTCCTTGAACTCAGGGCCTAGGCCTGAGTTTTGTGCTTATGGCTAGCGCCCTACCACTTAGGCCACAGCTCTCCACTTACAGCTGCTTTTTCCCCCCCTTTGTGGGAGGGTGGTTCATTGGAGATAAGCCTCTCACGGACTTTTCTGCCCAAACTGGCTTTGAACAGTGACTCTCAGATCTAAGCCTCCTGAGTAGCTGGGATTAGGGGTGTGAGCCACCAGTGCCCTGCCCATAACTTTAAATCCTCTTCAAAGTCCCTTATACTGTGTGGCCAACAAGTTCTAGGGACTAGGACATGTCTGGAAGAAGGGATATTCAGCCTCTGATAAATAAAGACTAGGCTGGAAATTTGGCTCCGTGGTACAGTGCTTGCCTAGCATGCATGAAGCCCTGGGTTTGATTCCTCAGTACCATATACACAGAAAATGCCAGAGGTGGTGCTGTGGCTCAAGTGGTGGAGTGCTAGCCTTGAGCTATATAGAGCAGGGGAAAGCGCCAAGGCCCAGAGTTCAAGACCAACGATGGGAGTGGGGGGGGGGGGCACTGACTACCCGGGAGATGAAGATATGGAAATGAACTACTCACACCCAGATGACGTCAAGGGGGACACACGCAGACTGAGTTGCACGAACTAGGGAGCTGACGGGAGGGCATGCCTGGAAGACGAACAGGCATAAAAACGTAGCAAACCGAGGCCCGTTCGCCAGTCTTCGGAGGTGAGCAAGGTCACACTCTCCAGCCTATGAAGAAGCCTGAGCAGCAGGAGGCCGTCCCGCGGCCCACTGGACCCTGTGTGACTTAACCTCTGCCCTGGGACAGGCGGTGGGAAACAGGGTGGTATCATGTGCGTGTTTCGCGTCTAGCGGATGGCACTGCGTTTGCAGTGTTGCTCAAATACCTGTCGGCACCTCGTTAGTGTTGGCCACGTGAATGTATTCGTGGGTAAAGTGCGGAGTCGGGGGTGCTAACGGGGTGGCAGTGCTCGCGCAGGTAGTGTCCCAGCCGGTGTGCTCGCTGCCACTCCTCAGCCCAGCCGCCTCGGGACACAGCGCAGCCGGCGCCGGGCACCCCGGTCCAGCGGGCGGCTCTCCGGAAGGCCTGGCGCAGGCGAGGGCAGGGGCCGCCGGCTGGGCAGCCCCGCTGAGGGCTGCAGAAACAACACGGCCCCCAGCCAGATGCCTCAGCGAGCGGCGACCACATCCCGCCGGGCGGGGCCTGGGAAGGGCGCTCCGGGCCGAGCGCACCTCGGAACGGAGAGGGAGAAAGCCAGAGTTCCACCGCGGCACGCCAAGTTCGGGACTCACTTCCGCCACGCGCCCGGAAGGAAGAGCCGGGCCGCGCGGGGACTCGGCCCGAGGCGCAGCACAGCTGCTCAGGACCGGCGGAGGCCTCGGCTTTTGGCGGCTCGAAAGAGCTGCCCGGCGGTCGGTGACCCGGAAAAAGACTGGAGGGGCGGGGCGGGGCGGGGCGGAAGGGCGGGGCGGG